GCCCTTGCGCTTACCAAGGAAGCGCTTATTCCACTGAGCCATCTCCCCGGCCCTTAGAAACAAGACTTTGAAGAGAAAAATTTTATGAAAATTATTGTGTGCTATTACAAAAATGGAACACTTGGTATAAAAGAACTAACCAGATCCTCATATTACCTTAAATATGTTTAAACCCAAATGCCTCAGGTCTTTCCGCTAAAACATGTTGGTGGCTCTGTGGCTGAAAGCCAGTCACATATCCCAGCTAGCACATCACATACTGGGATATCTGTCACTGTCTTCTCCCTCGCCACATAATTGCCCCGCAGTTCCTAACATTTGTACACTTCAGATACCTCTCAGCAAACCCTCCTCTCCTTTGCTGCTGCTCTAGTCCAGCAATTCCTCACTTTTTTTTTTTTAATTTTTTTTATTTAGTGCAAGGTCTACAGGGTCTCACTACACAGATCAGACTCGTAGTGATACTCCTCTATTTTTCAGCATCCCAAGAACTGGGGTTACAGGTGTGCTGCTCCATGCCCAGTCTCAGTCACTGGCTCAGCGCACCCTGGGGCCGGGCCAGCACAGCATGCCCGGGATCAAACCTCAAGTATTTTGGCCCTTGCCATAGTTTTTGTGGTTCCCCTCAGTCATGCCTTTGCCCATCCAGCCACTGAATTTGCTGCGCAGAGCACACTCCCTGTAGGGCCACAGCTGCACACGTGTCACTCTGTGATGTCCTTTCTTCTCCATTTGCAATTCTCTAACCTCCCCTTTAAGGTTACACCAAGAGGCAAATGTGGGAGACATCTTCTAAATGCTTGGATATTGGCTAACTTACAGGTGCTGTGCAGAACATTTATATCCCTTAATTTTTCCAACAATCCTATTTTAAAGGCTATTATCTTCAATATGTGTTAAATAAAATATAATTTTAATAACATGTTATTGAGATATATGCACTCTACATATGTATATATCAGTAAATAAATAATAGAGAACATGTTCTGTGTCTATGTATAAGTATATAGACATAAATAGGTGCTTTAGTATTATCCCTATGAGAGGACAGGATTTCAAAAGTACTTTTATGGCTGCTACTTTAGTTGATGCTAGAACCCATCAAATAAGTGTAAAATTTTTAATGTAAGTCAAAATTAAAAATCCTATTCCTAGCCAAAAAATAGTTCCAATTAGTATCATGCTACCCTTGAGTAGGGGTGGACAAAAAGGAAACTTTTTAACTAGGAAATTAACTATATCAAAGCAAAATTTTTTGAGAAGATATAATAGCAAGGGGCGTTGTGAACAAACTTTATTCAGACTGGATATTCAACTGCTGAAGACAGCATTTCGTAGTAGCAAAGGGAGAGTGTGGGGTACGAAACACGCAATTTAGCCTCTGCTCAGATTCACATTTCGAGATCCAAAGAGAGAGAGGTGGTCAGATACGGCAAAAAAGTGCCCATCAGTTCAATTAGTTGACTGCAATTGAGTAGTCCATATATAGGTTGTAGAAATGCCCTCTTGAGATAATAGTCATTCCAACTGAGTGCCCTGGGTCTGCCTAACTGGCTGGTGTTTCCAGCACCAGCAGCTAATATAGACTGGATGTGCAGTTTGATCTCTTTGGTATTTCATATTTGGGGAAGGCCAAATAAAATAAGTATATTCTCATGTGTCTGTCTGGACTTGATCATGGGAACTTGCTAAGTTCACGTAGGGTCCAGTCTGCTGCATGTTTGCATTTCATTTGCTTGTCCCCTAGCTGTCCGTAGTCTGGTCTAGGCAGTGCGCCTAATTAATAGTCAGTGGATCTTCAGCCGTCCAGTCAGGCGCCAGATTGCGGCTCCCAACCCCCGAAGGTGTCTTTTTAGTTTATATATTGATTTTATAATGTACTCCAGGTGTAGATGACTACATCAAAGTTATCATAAGCTTTTTATTTTTGGTCACAATAGGATACAATTAGGATAATCTTACTAAAGCATTCAAAACCAAGCACTGTGTGTGTGTACCACCATGCCTGGCAAGATCAACTCTTTCTTAAATTTTTAAATTTATTTATTTATTTATTTATTTATTTGGTACAGGGTCTCACTGTGCAGCTCGGACTCATAGTGATCCTCCTGTCTCGACCTCCCCAGTGCTGGGATTACAGGTGTGCACCACCACACCCAGTTTTGGGCCAGCATGGCACACCTGAAACCAAGAATCCAACTGGGTCCCAAGGATTGACTTTTAAAGTAGTTTGAATAATTTGCCCAGGCCTATACAACTAACATAACAAATGACAAATTCACTTGTCAAACCCATGTCTATATGAGCTGTGGACTTAACCACTGGAATTTACTGCAAACTTAAGTGTATTCTTCTCTGACCTTAGTATACACACAGGTGTATGTATACAGTGCATATCTCCACCATCATGCTTATTATTTAGCAGTTTCTAATTGTCTTCAATATAGAGAAGTTCACTGGGGGCAAAGAGTGGATCTTTTGATATTTGTGCCCTTATTTTCCCTCACTCCTTCCTATTCTCCTGATCCTTTTGCAAAAGTCCTATCTCCCTGTTTCCAATTATCTATCTTTGATTTTGCTTATTTATACTTTGAGTTTCTCATATGAGAAAAATCATGAAGTATTTTAGCTTGTGGGTCTAATTTATTTCACATAACATGGTCTCAAGGTGCATCAATTTTCCTACAAATAACTCAAATTAATCCTTCTTTATGAGAGAGTAATACTATTATATATAAATACCACATTTTGTTAATCCATTCATTTGCCGATGGAAATACAGGCCACTTCCAATAGTTATTAGGAGCTGGGCTGTTATGAGTGTGGAGATGCATGTATCACTGTAATATGATGTCTTCAATTCTGTTGGCAAGATAGATAAAAGGAAAACAGCTGGGTCAAATGGAATTTCTAGTTTTTGTTTTTTGAGGCATCTCCCTACTGATGTTGCTGTACTACTTCACATTCACATCGACAGTGTAGAAGTGTTTCTTTTCCTTGCAACCTTGCCAGTGTTTGTTATTTGATTTCTTGATGATACCCATTCTT